TGCAATGAATATAGCACAGGTGTGCTCTCTCTTTCGAGTACGAGTAACCAGTCGTGCCTCAGTGTTCTGAACCTTCTGCAGACGACTAGTTAGATTGTCAGATATACCACAGAGCAGGGCATTACCGTAATCCAACCGAGAGGTAACAACTGAATGCACTAACATAGCTTCTGCAGTTATAAACTGCCGGATACAACCGATGTTCCTGATCTGGTAGTAATAGGATTTGGCAATAGCGTTCATTCAAAGTATACCCGACATATATATGGCACCGACATTGAGCTGGAGAGCCATTGTTTGCTGACACTTTGGGGAAAGGACGATTAGTTTCGTCTTTTCCGGATTAGGCTTTAGAATGTTTGCGTTCATCCAGGTACTGATATCGGTCAGCCAAGCTTTCAGATTTTCTGTAATTGTATCCTAACTGTCCTGTGGTTTGATGAACATGTAAATGTGTGTTTCATCAGCATAGCAATGATAGCGAAGGCTATGGCGACGACAAATCTCTCCGATCGGATAAGAGTTCAGGCATTATTTTATGGTCCTAATACCGACCCTTGAGGAACCCTGAAAGCTAGTATTTTTTCTTGTTGGGTGGTACATCCGATGGCAACACACTGTTGCCGTTAACTCAGATAAGACTGTATCCAGCATAGTGCGGTATCAATCACTCCATAAGAGTACTCAAGACGTTTATAAAGTATGTCATGGTCGATGGCGTCAAATGCAGCTGACAAATCCAACATGGCAAACACCGCTCTGCACTTGTTATCCAATGCAGAAGCTATGTCGTTATGTACACGTAGGGAGCCGTCTCAGTAGAGTGTCCCAGGCGGTAGGTCGATTGCAGGTTGTCATGGAGACTGTTTGCATGGAGAATATCTAAACGCCGGGACACAACCTTCTCTAAGATCTTAGACAGAAAAGGCAGATTTGATACTGGGCGGTAGTTCTTCAACTCCTCCTTGTCCATTCCAGGCTTCTACAACAATGGTCTAAAATTTAACTTCTTGAAACACCATGGAACCTTTGACTCAGCTATTGATATGTTCATGATTGAGGTAATCAAGGAAAGCAGTGCTTCAAGACATTGATTTAATAGGTCTGTAACCAGTCGATCAAGCTCACAGGACTTCGATTGCGATCATGATGATATTGCGCAACTCGTCCTGGATTGAGAGCTATGTCAATGGTTCCCCATCAAATTGAATGTCAATAATCATGACAGAGATATTATTGTCAGCAGTAGAGTTCACTTTCGACATATTTTTCCTGATCGAGCGCATTTTATTCACAAAGTAATCACTGAACTTGTTCAACAAGTCTTTTTCAGAATTACAGCTTGGTAGGACAACTTCACCTTTCTGACCCATTAAGTGTTCTATGAGACTAAAAAGCTGCCTATGGTCCTTACCACATTCTTCATTTCTTTCGAAATGATAACTCCTCTTTGACTGAATGAAAAGTGAACCAACAAGCCGACATTGTTCCCTATAAATCTGTTAATGAACGGTTAATTTGGTCCTTCGCCACTTTTTCTCTGCTTTTCTACGGGTCTGTTTTCTATGCGGAGATTTTCATTATACCACGGGGCATTCGGGCACCGAGCGACAGTTTAAGGACACTAAATTCAGAGAAATAAGTTACTTACAGCGACCAGCTGTTGTTGGCTTGATGACATGTAGATTCTCGTACGATACTATTGTGCATTTCAAAAGTGAATGAATAAATTATAGATTTATAAACTTCCGTGTGATAAGCAATCATGTTTATAGTATAGCTCTAACGGGCCACCGTAAATATCTACTGGTTTGTCGCCTCACTGAATCTACGTGAACAAAATACAGATGGTATGATTAAAAAATATGGTTAACTTTATCATAACAAAGAGAATCGGATTTTGTTTGCACGAAGTGTCTGTAATGCTACGCTGTGGTATCGTACGTCTGTAGGTAGCAGTATACAGTAAATGAATGGAAAATGGAAAGGTAGAGTTTCCTTGATCATCAAACCAGACTAGTTGTTATTGAAAGCAGGAAATATGATAAAGTTTGCAGACAAAGAGTAAGTAATTAGATGTTTTGTCTTCAGATACAACTACATACCTCAAATTCAGATCGTTGAGTATAGTTGTGGACAACGTGGTCTGGTCTTGACTGGTCTTTTGTTTTCATTTTGAATTTAGAACTGCTATTTTCTCTCTTATTAAATAAGGAACACGTGACAATGATAAGATAAGATGGCCAATGACAGTCAAAACATCCTCACCTTTATGTCTCGGGTTTGAACACAAATATTCAGATTAATATCTTTGTTTACCTTGATAACAACACAGATAAGTTAAATGCTATGGTACTGGAATCAGCTCGTCTGTCTCTATCCTTCCGTCTGTCCGTAGACAAAATTATTTATGCATATGCTATACATTCTCTCATGTTTCAATACATTTTTTCGAAAAAATTGTGTAGTGGCAGTACCATATGTAGTTGTGCCACCTGATATAATTTAACGTTTTGGATTTTTTTAAGAGAAATATGCCCCTTTACGAAAACAAATTGACAAAACTTTGTACGGCTATTGAATCGCTCATTTTTTAATACATTTCTTTTTAACTATTTTATGTAATGGCAGTGCCATGCTGAGGCGCCAATCATTTCTCGTTTGGCCTAATCCTTACGATTTTGATACAAAAATACGAATTACAATTTTGCCTATACATTGTATGAGTTTGTCATATTTCTGCCTGTTTCCGCATCGTTTTATTATTAAAGCCTGATCGCAGTATTTTCGGTGTTTTGAATAGACCTAGAAACTGAAGCGAACATGTGCATGTGATCACACTTCCTCTTTTCTTAACGAGAAAATTGTCAAGTATACCCCGGCATACACGTAAGTTGTCAAGTATACCCCCGTCAAGTATAACTTTCGACGAGAGAAAGAAAACTGAAAGTTCAGGTAGTCCGCCCAAAAATATCTAAAAGCAATGGGATAAAAAAAGTTAAACCAGAATACAGAGAATGCCATGTCCATGGTCATTGTACAACTTACGTGTATGCGGGGGTATACTTGACAACTTACGTGTATTCGGGGGTATACCTGACAACTTACGTGTATGCGGGGGTATACTTGACAACGTACGTGTATGAGGGGGTATACTTGACAACTTACGTGTATGCGGGTGTATACTTGACAACTTACGTGTATGCGGGGGTATAATTGACAACTTACGTGTATGCGGGGGTATACTTGGCAACTTACGTGTATGCGGGGGTATACTTGACAACTTGCGTGTATGCGGGGGTATACTTGACAACTTCCGTGTTTGCGGGGGTATACTTGACAACTTACGTGTATGCCGGGGTATACTTGACGACTTACGTGTATGCGGGGATATACTTGACAACTTACGTGTATGCGGGTGTATACTTGACAACTTACGTGTATGCGGGGATATACTTGCCAACTTACGTGTATGCGGGGGTATACTTGACAACTTACGTGTATGTGGGGGTATACTTGACAACTTACGTGTATGCGGGGCCATACTTGACAACTTACGTGTATGCGGGGGTATAATTGACAACTTACGTGTATGCGGGGGTATACTTGGCAACTTACGTGTTTGCGGGGGTATACTTGACAACTTACGTGTATGCGTGGGTATACTTGACAACTTACGTGTATGCGGGGATATACTTGACAACTTACGTGTATGCGGGTGTATACTTGACAACTTACGTGTATGCGGGGATATACTTGACAACTTACGTGTATGCGGGTGTATACTTGACAACTTACGTGTATGCGGGGGTATACGTGACAACTTACGTGTATGCGGGGGTATACTTGACATCTTACGTGTATGCGGGGGTATACTTGACAACTTGCGTGTATGCGGGGGTATACTTGACAACTTACGTTTATGCGGGGGTATACTTGACAACTTACGTGTATGCGTGGGTATACTTGACAACTTACGTGTATGCGGGGGAATACTTGACAACAAACGCTTATGCGGGGGTATACTTGACAACTTACGTGTATTCGGGGGTATACTTGACAACAAACGTGTATGCCGGGGTATACTTGACAACTTACGTGTATGCGGGGGGATACTTGACAACTTACGTGTATGCGGGGGTATACGTGACAACTTACGTGTATGCGGGGGTATACTTGACATCTTACGTGTATGCGGGGGTATACTTGACAACTTACGCGTATGCGGGGGTATACTTGACAACTTACGTGTATGTGGGGGTATACTTGACAACTTACATGTATGCGGGGGTATACTTGACAACTTACGTGTTTGCGGAGGTATACTTGACAACTTACGTGTATGCGGGGGTATACTTGACAACTTTAGCTGTAAATGGCTTCGTTATTAACACTTGTGTTCTGATTTTTTTATTTTTCTTTTAAAAGAGAAACCACGTTTTTGGCATGAAGATATTTCAGCTTTGGAAAGTGTTAAATCAGAATTGTTGTCTTTAGCTCCGAATATCAACATTGTGGTGAGGCATTATGACCAGGGAAACATAGAAAACTTCAAAGATATATTCCATAATCTTTTGTTTAGCTCTGGTAGTATGTCATCCTGGACGGTATGGCATAATGTTTTCCGGCGTCGGTCTTTATATAAGGTTTTTGGCAATTTCAAAGGTATCCCAAGCTATTCCAAAATTAAGAGTTGAGTTTATTAGAGGACGGGAAGTTTGCTAGTAAGGTAAAGTTGTAGAGTTATTCGTTAAGCGTTATTCAGAATAACGATAACCCCCACCCCCACCCCCACCCCACCAATCCACCCACCTTCCCAGAAAAGTAAAGTAAGAAAGTAATTCGTTATATCTGGTTTTTACAATATTTGCAGCTCACAGCCGGAGTGTACGCTCTGTATTTCTGTTAGTGTAAAGGGGTGAGAGGTTACTATCTATATATAGAATATCATTTACGTCACAACTCGTATGTTATACTGCTTTATGAAATAGTCACGGGTAACATATGTGAAAAACTGGCCAGTCGTATTATAACAGTAACTAGTTACATACACGTTAGGTGGCTACTTCAACAACAGTATGGCGGAACACCCGAACATATTTCTAAAGAAAAGCTTTGTAGCCATTACTGGCGCCAGCAGGGGACTGGGGAGATCTATAGCAATACAGTTTAGTGTCAAGCTTCCCCCTAACTCCGTCATAGTACTCATGGCGAGGAATAAGGAAGCTTTGGAAAGTGTCAAGTGTGAGGTGTCGTCTGTGGCTCTGGATATCAACATTGTGGTGCGGCAATATGACCAGGGAAACGCAGCAAACGGGGATTATTTTAAAGACATCTTCAATGATCTTTTACTGGAAAATAACATTTCTCAAAATGACTTTGAGCAATACATGATCGTACACAATTGTGCTATCCTTTGTGATGTGTCAAAAAGATCGCTGGAACTTTCCGACTCCACATCAGTCCGGAAGTACTTCGACATCAACCTGACCGGGATGATCCTACTTAACACGAGTTTCTTTCAGACTTTTTGCGGTTCTACAAAATCTCGTGTCGTTGTCAATATGACGTCAGTAGCTAGCTTAACTCCCATGCCAGCATTGCATCTATACTGTGCAGGTAATGTACAGTCTTGTAGACACCCTAAATATCATGTTATATTACAGTCATCTACTCCGATTCTACAAAATTTCGGGTCGTTGTCAATATGACGTCAGCAGCTGCCATAACTCTTTTGGCATTACTTCATCAATACTGTATAGGTAATGTGCGATATTAAGAGCACCCTTTATGCAACGTGATGTTTCATTCATTTAGTGTAAGTTTTATTTGCGGCAGTATGAACGCAGATGGCATCGAAAATATGTATGGTGCACGTTATATTTACATCATAACTAATGTTAAAATGATATACAATGAAAAACAACAACAGTCGAAGCGGGTTGCTACGATTGTAAGTTACGGTAACCCTGGTTGCTAGGTGATATAGTTTCAATGAATCTACATCGACATATGGGTTAATTGATACAAATACGCAGTGAACAACACTTTATTTCTTTTCTTTTTCACTGTTTTTAAATTTTAGATTAAGTAATATAAGTAGCAAATCGAACATTTGTATTCATTTGTAACGGTCGTTATGTAAAAGGACACACTGTTCTGGTAGTGAAGCAGTCGAACGTCGCGAAAGGAAGCCGCCATTTTTTACTTTACCGTCAAAGAAATTCCAATGTGCATCAATTGAGTAAGAAATGTGCCAACATCCCTTTGATGTACAGTCAGACATAATGGATCCAGACTATGTTCTATGTTTGAGATGTTAAAGGAACAAAAAAATGGCTGCCATCGAACAGTAATCTTTCTGAAGCGTAAACGGCGCCATATTTGAAACAGGTATCAATCCGCCTAGTCTTTTTTCCTTGCTTAAGCGCTAACTTATACGCAGTCATAGGTTACTAAACTGACAAAGGGATAAAAGTAAATATAATAAATTTCATCTAAATACACAATCCTTTTATATGTTATGCTGATGTTGCATTCATAGTCTGGCATAGAGTTTGACGTTTACTTTTCGGGGCTAATTTTTCTATTTGTCACCATCACTTGGATCATTCAGTGATATCTGCAGGATGCGTTTAAGGTTCTGGAGACTTATCATCTCCTCAGAGGGGCCTTTACTTCAGCATTGAGAAAACTCCATCAAACTAAATGAAATAATTTAAAATTGTACCACTTCACATAATACTGGAATATTTCAATGTGTACATTGTTTGAAATAAAGACATTTCCTGTTAAAACATGAAGATCAAGTCCAATCTCTGCCAGGACTGACACCGACAAATCATCATTTCTTTTTCGGAACCAGATAAGCAAGATCTCCCGATTCCTGTCAAATCTCGATCATTCATTACGAGTTCGGTCAGGGCTAGGTTGTTTAGCAGACGTTTTTATTTTGTGTTAGAAATAACTTCAACAACAAGGAGATCCAACGTTCAGTAATTTAAAAGCCGTGCATACATTAATATGACCTACATTGTTTCCGCGCAATGACACGTAACTCCATAGATGTTACTCGCATTGAGTTTGCACAGCGTGAATAGGGAGTCGGATTGTAATATGACGGCAAACAAAGTATCTTGAGTTTCTACCTGTGGTGCAGTATTTTTATATTGTTCATACTTAAGCGGTAGGCGATGTAGTGATAGTAAAGGCCTCCGCGAGTCTGCTTACAAACTATGGTCTTCATCATTTTTTTCATTGCAAAATATTTTATTCAATCAAACAGATTAAATGGGAATTGGGCAACAGGGGAATTGGGCAACAGGCAGAGCCTATCGAACCCTCCCCCTCGAGGTACATCTCAAACAAAAGCAAATAATGAACTATGAATATTGACAAACATGGTTAGGAACGTAATTAGATCAGTATCAATGAAGATAGGAGACACCATACATACAGGCATGTATATATACATACATGTACAAACATGCTTAGAAACAAACGTACGTACATGCATGCATGAACACGTACACACATGCATGCATGCAAGCATACATGCACACATACATGCATGCATACATACATACATACATATATACAAACATACATACATACATACATACATACATACATACATACGTGCATGCATGCATACATAACATTCAAAATCTTTTGGTTGATTCTATATATCTCTGAACACAAACATGAATAGCAGAATTAAGGAAACTACTTCCTTTAGTCAGTATATTAACATTAAACATTAGATGTTCATAAAGGTTTAGGTCCAAGTTTAAGCGTAAATTTACATTGGTGTCAAGCTGTAAATGAGACAGAGATAAGAACATATTTTGTCTTTGAGTCATATATCTAGGGCAATGCAGAAAGAAGTGACTCACATCTTCATTATTGTAACCACATATACAGGAGGGATTATCATTAAAGTGGTCTCTAAAGAGATCAGAGTTCAACTGACTTTCACGATTTCGAAGTTGACCTAATATTATGTTAAAAGATCTAGTCCCTTCATCTTTATGTTCTTCATCATGATGAAGCAGTTACATATACATGTATATTGTTGATTTTTTAAACGTATTTTATTATTATTACTACTGGAAGTATTTATTAACACTGGTCGTCTGCTACTGTTCAGAGGTGTTATTATTATGACACTGCAATTTTGGTTTGTTATAATCAGTGCTCTGTACCTTAATATTATCACATTCCCCTTCACATCCATGGTCTATGACTAAAGGGTCGTGAAGCCGCATGCAAAAATCCTTACTTTAACAGTTGTTTTCCGTGCAAGTTGCCTATTGCAGATTGGATATCTAATTCTGCTGAGACCCTTTGTTTGCGCCGAAAGCCATGAAGTAAAACTACAAAACTCTATGTTTTGGTGGCAGTAGTAATTATCGTTTTTCTTTATTAATTATAATTGTTCTGTGTTGTAAAGAATTTGTTATGTTGATAGTTTTTCATGCTTTTTTATAGGTAAGGCTGCCCGTGACATGTATATGCGTGTATTGGCCGTAGAAGAGCCGTCTCTGAGGATACTGACGTTCGCTTCAGGTGTCTCAGATACAGACATGGTGAAAGAAATGGAGAGGTTGACTTTGAATGAGTCTAGTGTTGATATGTTGAAAAGTACGTGGTTTACTTATAGAACCATCTATGCTATCGGACATTAACGAAATCTCTCGGGGCTGTATTATGTTCTAATCAGATAATGTTATAAAAGTTTTGTGTTACATAATAATTTCCTCTTGATAATCAATTCCAAGACTCATTCTTCATCCCAGAATTCAATTCGGATGCTGCAAACTTACATAAAATTTGCTTCGCATCAAATGTGTTTTTACAATAATACTTCATTTTAATGTCATAATAATAGTAAGATGTTTCTATTTCTAAATACAACCCGTGTCAAAACATCGCCTTGGCTATAGTTACAATTGAAGTTATTGAGGCACACATTGTCATGTTTGTTTTCAGAAATGAGAGCTGATGGTAAGATGACGCTTCCAGAGACCCCAATTGCTAAGCTGGTCCAGATACTGGAGGAAAACAAATTTGAAAATGCTGTTTACATAGAGAGTGACAAACTATTCTAACTCAGGGAACACATAAAAACATCGACGGGAAAAAAGGATTAAAAAATAAATTAAAAAAATACATGATAAGGTCAAATGGAGTAATATACATATTATTCATTTATGCGTACGATTCATCTATGCAATCCTTTCTCTTCTTTCAAAACATCTTTCTTCTTCCTAATGTCTCCCTTGACAATGCCTCAATTTTTGGCATTTAGTTGAGCGTTCGCCCCGTTGAGGAAGGCTTTGGGTTCTGTCCCATGGCCGAGACATACCAGAGATTGTAAAAATGGTAGTTTATACTCCTGCTTAACGCTCAGCAGTTTAGGAGTGGGACGACAGGTTCGCCCGTTGTCAGTTTAATGTGACTGGGTGGGGTGTCCTGCTTGGTGTCCTCGGCAGTATGTTTCAGTGAGGTAGCACTATAAAGTCGGCATCAGTTCAGCGCTATCACAAGGAGACAAACACGAACATATAGCAACCTCCCGAAACACACACGCATACACTACACACATGCATCTTGCACACAAGGGAGGACGTCCTAACTGACCATAGCTGTTGATAGGACGTTAAACTATGCTTAACCAAACTAAACCAAACCATATATGCAACTAATTATGAAATGCTTGAAAACTATCAAAATGATCATATTAAACCTTCCTCGGCCGAGTTTATAATCATATATGTCAACAATATTTTGTCAAGCCAAACCCGAGAATTTAAAAAAGTGATATTTTTTTAACTTTTTCATTCATGTCCATGTTAATCTACCCAAAAATCCAGTTGTTGTGCTTGTGATGTTATTATTTATTATGTTGAACTTTTTCAGTCTTCCACATGTCATACGTATCCCCTAATGTTTACGGACTTGCGATGCCCCCTTCAGTGCATTGAATGATCTTTTTGCAGATTTATAATTCCCACAGTCCTACCCTGTTTTAGGTTCGTTTTTCCTCATTTTTTATTCCCGTTGTATTATCATCAGTGAACAAGGCTCATTGAAACAAGTGGCGCCAATGAAATTTACACCTATAGCGTGCGTTCTGTATTGTGTTTTTGTAAAATAGTGTGAGGTTACTGTCTATACATGTGTGTGATTACGTAACTACTGTTTTGTAGGACACAAAAAATACATCATTCAATAGAAACACATCTGTAAGAAGGTGAATTCAAAGTAGTGTGGCGGAACACTCAAATATATTTCTAAAGAAACCCCGTTGTAGCCATTACCGGGGTTTCACAATGGCAAAACAATGTAGTGACAAGCTTCCCCCTAACTCCGTCATAGTACTCATGGCGAGGAATAAGGAAGCTTTGGAAAGTGTCAAGTGTGAGGTGTCGTCTGTGGCTCTGGATATCAACATTGTGATGCGGCAATATGACCAGGGAAATGCTGAAAACGGGGATTATTTTAAAGACATCTTTAATGATCTTTTACTGGAAAATATCATTTCTCAAAATGACTTTAAGCAATTCATGATCGTTCACAACTGTGCTACTCTCTGTGGTGTAACAAAGATATCATTGGAACTTCTGACTCCACGTCAGTCCGGAAGTACTTCGACATCAACCTGACCGGGATGATCCTACTTAACACGAGTTTCTTCCAGACATTTTGCGATTCTACAAAATCTCGTGTCGTTGTATGACGTCAGCAGTTAGCGTAACTCCCATGCCAGCATTGCATCTCTACTGTGCAGGTAATATACAGTGTTGAAGACACCCTAAATATCATGCTATATTTCAGTCATCTACTTTCATCAAACGATTTGTATTAAAGATAGAAGCTGTAGTTAATGATCATATTTCTGTATTTAATCATTTTAACAGCAAATCAGCTATTCATCTCACTAACGACTAATTAATTGTCAACGTAATTAAATGACGATGTTATTTGAGGACGAACAAATAAAATGATATTGTTAGATTACTCAGCTTCTGTTAGTTGTGACATGCTTTGAGAAGGGGGCTTACTGACCTCTTAAGTTCCCGTATTTGTTATTAATAATTATTTAATAATTCGAGGTTCCGCTTTATCACAACCTAATTCGTAGGTCGTCTCAAAGCGGTTCACAAACTATTATCCGTGGTTATGGGGCCTTTACAACCAGCCAATGTCTTTCTCAACTCCCTGGGGAGCGTACAGCCGGTGCTGCAATTCTAGCACTGCCCAACCACGTACCCATATACAGCTGGATAGACTGGAACAAGCTGAGTACAGAATCGTGCTCAAAGATACAACACATTGCCGTGACGTGACTCGAACACGCAGCCCTTCAGTCACGAGCCCGGCGTCCTACACTAGAATACCATGCATCCAGTGACTAATTACATATAAACAAGAGGTCGAAAGTCATCGAGCTCTAGCTGAAGTATTTAAAGATTTCTTTGGTTTGTTTTACTTCATTTTCAGTCTGACAACATTCTTCTGTATACTGTATCATTAAAATTCTTTGAAATATATAATGGCACAATTTCTGCAATCGGCTTACGACTCACGATAGACGTATGTCGACATAATATTCAAATTATCACTTTTGTCAGGATAATTAAGTAGTTAACCAATAGTTTCTAAACAAATTATCATGCGATGTATTTATAGTTTATACTAGTCAGGTCAACTTAACAATGTTCCTCGTATTGGATTACGTATGACGGCAGTAAAATAGATCGATAAGTTGAAAGTCGTATTCATTGACACATTGACACATGTCTCTTGTATTTGCGGCATGTGTCCATTCATATTCAGCTTGCATGGTGCCTACAGGTAATCCGAACCAACAAAAAGAAGTATTTACAATTTCTATCTGTAATGCTCATGACTATTTTCATAGCGCGAATATTCCGTCTTTGCGTAATGCAGAGTTATCTTCTCTTGGGAGCAGGGATTGATTGTTACGTCACTTGTTTGTGAGAGTAACGGCATCAATTTTTGGGAAAACGACGTCATTTTCTCACACAGACCAATGACGTAACAATCAATACCTGCTCACAAGAGAAGATAACTCTGCAATACGCAAAGACAGAATATGCGGTATGCAATAAATTGATATTAACAAAAGGCCAGGGGTCAAAAGGCCAGGGGTCACGTTATTCCTTGGACAAACTGCTGGAATGCTTGAAACTGTAGAAATCAGATGTTATTTCCCGTTCCTTCCTGGCGAGTCTCGTTAACAAGAGACGGGTTGTCATTCCCCTTACATATTTGCATGTTCTTCATTGAATCTACATTTCTATTTTTTTGTAATTTCATAAAAATACTAGACAAACTTATGCTTATTTTTTGTAAACGTATGTACTTTCTTATAATTTGCATTTGTCTAGTATTAACGCTTCATGAACTTAAAAAATACGCTGCAACCTATAAAAGCATTCGACAGACGGCCCCAATCAAAATAAGAAAATATTCTTCTTTAAAACGTTTAAACAGAGACCTGTAATAGTATCTGTTTTAACTGCTCAACTGAATTGTAATTGTAAATCATCATAAACAGTGTGTACGCCAATCATTTGTGCCTCGGATAATCTGCGTAATGTTTTTCCGAGACCATTTCATAATAGTATTTCGATAAATTAGAAAATATGTTAATGAAATACTGATCAAATATATCAGATATAGAGGCTCTGTCATAAGTTTCCATTCATATTAGATTCATAAAACAAGTTTTGGATCTTTCATATTTGCGAGCCTCTGGAGAGCAAATATGTAAAACCCAAAACGAGTATCATAAATCTAAAATGAAGGGTAACAAATATATCTGATTATTTTTATCATAGAATACAAAGTAAACTGTATAATTGTGATCTGAAACGAATGTTTTGCACTTGGCCGCCTCATAAACGAAGAAATTTGCGTCCGCTTCACAATGACATGACGTCACATTGATTGTTCCTATTCGATTGTGACGTCATTTCCGGAATGATATTACACACGTTACATAACATCTCCACGCAGAGTTACGGTCCTTGCTCTCCCTAAGACATATATGTGATGGCTTTATGACACTGCATAACACGGACATTCATATTGGCCACAACACAAGATTTTGAGGAGAAAGTCCTAAGGACCGTCACTCTGCGTGGAGATTGTTATGTAACGTGTGTAATATCATTCCGGAAATGACGTCACAATCGAATAGGAACAATCAATGTGACGTCATGTCATTGTGAAGCGGACATTTTTCTATTGTGTGTGATTGAAAAGGAACGACAACTCTGGGTATGTAGAATGTATATCAATTAAATAAATGCTGAAATTGTGTAAAATTAATTCTCTATACACGATATAAAAATTGACATTTTATAATAAAACCATATACACATAGTAATTGCAGGTAAGAGTTATCGTTCTTGAAAAACTTCACAATAGTGAAATAGGTAGCCGGTTTCCTGAAGTACAGAAAAATGGACACATGTGACTCATTGATAAAAAACACCTGAATNGGAAATTGTGACACTGTCTCCCTACATTGGATTTTCAACTAGGGATGTACTTCCTGTTTCCGTTTATCGATACACTCCTATGACCTTAAGTAGGATCATCCCGGTCATATTGATGTGGAAGGACTTCCGGATTGACAAAAAATCGGACGAAGTTCCAATGATGCCTTTGAAACAGCATCAATAGTAGCACAGTTGTGAACGATTATGTATTGCTTAAAGTCTTAGGCGAAAAGTTATTTTTCTTGTTAAAAGTTCACGAATATGTCTTTTAAATAATCGCTATTTTCTACGTTTCCCTGATCATATAGCCGCACCAAAGGTTGACATTTGGAGTCACAGACAACACTTCAGACCTGACATGTTCAAAACTTAACTTGCTCAATAGCACCCCGTGTCATTGTCTTCGATAGAGTCAATATATTATTATTCTACAGTAAGAATAATCTTTACTTGAGGTTTTTTTGAGGGGTTCCTTACATAAGCATTTCCCAGTACCCCAGTGTTCACTATATTTTTTTTTATCTTGGCATTGAAAAACTAGGTACACCACAATAAACCACAAAAAGAAAATATGTCAAAATATGAACGAAGGAATTATTGACATTAAGTAAATACTGGCTCTCACATTGTTAGATGGAGCAATACGTCACCACGGCTGATCATCACACCGAGAAATTATCAAAATGGGATGTCAGAAGGGGCAGGTAAACATAAATCCAGGTAAGATTTGATCCGATCTCGTTAAGACCCTGTTACACTGTTTTGTGTCTTATGGAAGTCCATTTGATTTACGCTTGCCGTATGTCTGTACGTTTGCTGACGGGAGCTAATTTTCAATTTTTTCATGAATTTGAATTTGTGAATTATGTTGTTGCCTACGGACCACAAGGCAGTTTATGAATGGTATCGCAAAACAAATGTAATCTGTCGGCGTTGCGAGGGCTTCACGCTCTCGTTAATATCAAAATGCCATTTATGTTGCTGGTATTTTAAAACGTCAATGTATTTTGCGTGAAAAAGTGCATACACCCCATAAAAGTGAAGACAATTACTTCATTAATTTTGGTGGCAATTCATCAAAGCTTGCACCTAGCTATACAATGGCACTTTGCTTTAAACCGTAACCTTTGATATACTGAAGTACTACAGTGAAACCTCGTTAAGCTGTCATCATTTGTCCAGATAAGATTTGGCGTCATAACTGGTTTTGTGATAAATTAATAAAACATAAAACGAAATTAAAAACAAAAAGAGAAAAAGATATACAAAATGTATAGCAAATGGAACGATATTCAGTATATGGAGTTTTATTGTTTGTTTAAATATCAAAAGTCCTCCAATACAAGCAGTTCTTTAAAACCAGCGGTCGCATTGGGATGCTAAGTATTTTGATAAATAATTATTATTTCTCATCGTGCCAACAAACCTAAACCTCGGGGAGTTTTAGAAGAATCGCTTGAGGATTTCAACTCATTTGGCACTTGGAAGTAGGCGACAAATTCAATGTCACTTATTTAATCAACCTTCATAGTACCTCATCTCAAAAATAAGAAATTCTATCATATTTATGCAGGGGATATAGAGTTAAATATTTATAACACTTGTAAACGTGAATGTTGTTCGAGGTCATTCATGTTAACGAACTTGATACCTCGAATTTCGGTATTCATCGGTGAAAAGAAGCTTAAGTAAAATCGGTGAAATCAAGCCAATAAAAGTTAACATGGAGAAATATAAAAAGTACAAGGAGTAAACAGGTAAATCAATGTCTTCCAGAAGGACTTAACCTCCCTTGCAACTCTAGGTCAAATCCAAGAAACATTATTTTCAAAAATGAGAACCAGGTCGTGACAACTAAACAGAAAAGCACACCATCCATAAACATCATCGAAAACAGCATTATTCATGTTGCCATGGAAACAGTGTTGTTATTAATCAAGGTTCTTATTATATTATGTTCCTCTCTTTGGATACGATAAGGGATAGTTAGTTGAAAATATAGAGCTCAGTATTTGATGCAAGAAATAAACATTTGCGTTTTAATCGAATATAAACGTAAGTAAATGAAATGATAAGGAATAGTATGAAAGTATAAACGCACATGACCTAAGACTCATCTGACAGATTGGACATATATGGCACTTTTAATTGCTAGAAAGTGATAAAAGAGCAATGCCAGGGACATGAGTTTTTATGTATTCAAATATGTTCTAGTATAATCGTAGAAATAGATGATTATTATTGTTACAAATCAGCTGCGGTGGCTAACGCTTCCGACTGCTCATATACATTTTATGCTATTACAGACGTTTTTCCCGCAATATTTTAATGTCGTTTTTGTCAAAAACGACTTCATAACTAATATGCAACATGTCGCCATGTCAGTCTTCGATAGGTTTTATTTGGAAGGCAAAAAACTGTAACTGAAGTCGAGACTGATTTTAATAAAAGTACGTATTTATATATACTGGTAAGATGGATATACATGTATGTGGCAATTATGCTGGCGCCAAAGGGGTTAAAGAAGATTGGCAGACTTAATATAGAGTACAGAATACCTACATAAATGTTAGGTTTTTGCGATCATAACTTACAAATATATCTTGCGTCTTTTGTACATCTTTCAAGACACAATGCGGTATACTCTGCTGATGGACTTCTTAATCCTCCACCATTAGCCATCCACACGTCTGGTCAGGTAAAGCTATTTCTGTCTTAGCCAAGGATCGAGACGGGGGAATTCCCCTGTCAAAACAGTTGTTAACGAATGTTTTTCTTGGTAGGTAAGGCTGCCCGTGACATGTATATGCGTGTACTGGCCGTAGAGGAGCCGTCTCTGAGGATACTGACGTTCGCACCGGGTTCTGCCGACACCGAAATGCAGGATTTTGCTAAGACCTTTATAACGTTATTGACAGTTGTTAATGTTTATTACTTTGTTTTTGTTACTTGATAATGTTTCATATTTGTCCCTTTTACTAGGTAAGGCTACCCGTGACATGTATATGCGTGTACTGGCCGTAGAGGAGCCGTCTCTGAGGATACTGACGTTCGCTCCAGGTGCCTCAGACACAGACATGGCAAAACAGGTTGAGACGTTGACTGTGGATAAGTTTGTTGCTGGTTGATAAAACGTACCATAGTATTTCTTATGTAAAAATATTTAGATTACCTCTGGCGGCTGTTATATGTCGTAAACAATCACCGAACAAAGATAAATCTATAAAACTATAACTCTGATGCAGTTCGATAAATGTTTCTGATTTGACTAATTAATACAACTTTGTTATACATAATTAAACCTTGTACATGTAGTGGTAGTTGGTAACTTTGTTTTGGAACACGCTACTTTATCCTACATTAAAATGTGAAAATTTCCAATGTCTTTAATACATTTTAACTATACCATTTAATATCAAACTTTATTACTCCATCAACGAGGCACTGACAGAAAATAATAATGTGAATACAATGTATATCCTTTTACAGCGAACGAGTCAATATTTATGGTCTAAATAAGTAATGTGTATGAATAAGCTCCTAGTCAATAGTTTCAAGTAAAACCAACTCAAAGAATTGTGGCCATATTTTAATAACTTTCAGAATATCGAATTGATGGTGTGGTGACGCTTCCAGATACCCCGATCTCCAAGCTTGTCCAGGTACTGGAGGAAAACACGTTTGAAAACGCCGCTTACGTAGCCAATTTTCCTTTCATGAAAGGTTCTCACGATCGTTTTTCATGTTCTACAAATTTGATATTACTAAAGAAAGTCAAAGAATGCTCAGGTATTCACATTGGCAATAATGGGGAACGTTCTACATGTATGGTTTGTTAGAAAATGAAACATGCTGGCTCAGGCACATAGTTCTTTTTCTAGTAACACTTATTTACTATTTACTATTGCTGTCGTATGCAGACCTGGTAGATACGTAGAGGGTTCAGTAGTTAATACATCTTCAAGCATCTTCTGATTTTTCTGCTATTACTGACGCATCCTGCTTCTAGATTAATATGTTCAATCTTTATTTAGAAGCCATTAAAAACTAATGACATATCTAAAATGCAATTGGCAAGATAAACTGTTCTGGGGATTCCATGTAATGTAATATATTGACTAAAAGTATTTGTTACCTAGTAGAGTAACAAATCTTTACTCGATAAGTCTATAACCAATCCTTGAGTCACCTTTGCTCCAAATATAGGGTTTTTACCAACGTCAACCTGATACACATCAACAATAGTATAGTAATACGACTTCTCCTTAGACCTCTATTTCCCCCTTTATTTGATAATCAAGCATGTATACATAACCATTACATTTCCAAAGTAAACAAAATCCAACGCGTCAATAAAAAGTATTGATGTCAGACGATGACTTGCTTTAGAACCAATATTCCTGATAATTAAATAACTAACAAAAAAGATACTGATGCTGGAAACCGAAAAAAACAAAACTTGGCCCAATTTCAATTTCAATTTCAACAAATTTTATTGACAATATAAGCAATAGTCAATAGGATCAGACATCAGGCATAGCCTATCTAAGTCCTCTCCTTAAAGTGACAACAGGTGGTTAGAAACACAGACATATATTTGTACATTGATATGATGTTTGGGATAAGGGGAAGTAACTCCTTGATGTAAACAGACTTGTTCAGTATTCTTGAGATATAGTAACCCTTTCACTAGGGATATTTAATTTGAGATATTTACTAGACTATTATCTTCAGTGAATAGTATCAAGTATCTGACAATGAGTTACTGGTATTCATATAAGGTAAACTGTTGGGTATAAATATTTGGTGATATTGGATTTATTCCCTCAACAGATACAGGCCATACAGTCCATATGTATAACACACTAGCCATCACACACTGTTAAGGATCAAAAGCCAATTTCAGCAAATAGATATATAATTTGTAAGTAGGGCTACACCAACTCCTGTAAGTAAAGTAGTAATTCTTTAATTAAATTGAAAGGAGTTACTCCATATCTTGATGTAAGCTTAAAAAAGAAGAAGAAAATAGAAAACATAAAAAAAAACACAAAAAAACACAAAAAACACACACACAAAAAAGAAAGAAAAAACCCATCTAGGCTGCCCAGAGCCAATTTCATTCAATAGGTGTATATACCAGCTAAATTAGTAATTATCAAAGGTAGAATAAAGTATCTAATTAATTCCATATTATATTACATTAGATATATCTTGTACTACTATATCATTGTAGTTCACTGTGGGAGGTATAAAGCTTTTATACATATAACTTGAAAGAAAATAAAAAGAATAAAAGAATAAAAAAATAATAAAAAAAAAAAATTATATATTAGAATGTAAGAATGTATAATTATGTTCCAAAAAATAGTAAGGGTAAGTCAAATATTATATTAATGAAAATCTTTTTGATTGCGATATAAAGTTTGATACATGAGATAAGATATCTCTATTTTGTAAATCATTACAACTATTACAACCATTTATTAGGACATTTATACACAGATGATTGTGAGTGTGATGATTCAAACTCCGTTGGAGAGTCTGGCGAATATTATTATATTGATTACATTCAGAAAAATAATGTGCAGCAGTTTCGAAAGATCCGTTACACTCACACATTGGAGATTCAATTAAGTGATCTTTATAACGATCATAATTTAGATTACTAGCATTATTTCTTAATTGGCAAAGTAAAATGTTTACATCACGAATGCCAAAGTATTTAAAAACATCATTTGTTTCAGATTTCATATATTGCTTTGTAGTTAGTAACCTTTTTAACTGTGTGGTAGATTGGATGCTAGTAATATCTGGGGCAAGTCTATTCATTTCATTTAGCATGGACGGAAAAAAACTTTCAAAATATTTTACAGTACGACATAAAGGGGGATCAAATAATCTGTTTGTTCGTAGGGGATATCTGTCAAGGGTTTCATCATGAATATATGGTTGAATAATTTCTGTTAGGTAATCTGGGGTTTCATTATTCATTATTCTATACATTAAAATTAGTTTATGTTTATTTCTTCTGCAGCTCAAAGTTTCCCATCCTAATTCCTTGTATAATTTATCATGTGATGTCCCTCTACGTAAACCTGTAATTAGTCTTGCAGCCTCTAACTGTATTGATTCTAATAGTTTTTTTTGAGCTAGTGTGCAATTGTCCCACACAACATCTGCATATTCAATAACTGGTCTTATGTAGGATATATATAAGGTTGTCAAGGATTTTCTATCAATTTTATTTTTTAGTAACCTTAAGATATTTATTCTTTTAAATGCTTTTTCATATATATTAGATATGTGTTGGTTCCATTTGGCATCATCACTAAGTGTAAGGCCCAGATGTGTATGTGTTTTGCTTTCAACAATTGGTGCGTCATAAAAATTAACAATAGGATGATTCTTATTAGTTTTCCTTGAGAAAATTACAGATTCAGTTTTAGAAGGATTAAATTTAATGTCCCATTTAGTGGCCCACAGCTTAATATTACTCAAGTCATTGGAAAGATTTTGTGCCAATTCAATGGGATTATTATCACATATACCATAGAGAGAGGTGTCATCTGCAAATAATTTAATTTTACTGGAAACACAATCAACAATATCATTTATATATATTAAAAACAATAACGGACCGAGGACTGAGCCTTGTGGAACCCCTGCTTGAACAGGGTCAAAGGTTGATGTATAACCTTCAGTTAGTACTCTCTGCTTTCTGTCTGATAAAAAGTTACGAAACCAATTTAAAAGATTACCTTTAACACCATATGATTCCAACTTGTAAAGCAGACCATTGTGCCAAACTCTATCAAAAGCCTTGCTTATGTCACAGAATATAATTCTGATTTCTTTATTTTGATCTAGGCAATTAACAATGGTATGGTAAATAGACAATAATTGATTTACAGTTGAATCGAATTAAGACAGCGTTCTGAAAATTGAGAAATGTTGTGTTTCTGGATAACTTAATGTATGGGATTTGGTACAATGGTTAAATTGGTAGTTTTGAAAGAAGGAATGTGGTATCAATATATCTACCTGTGTTTGACTGTGTAATGTCTTCCAACAGGTTTTCATTTTGATACGTCTTGCCTCATACCTTGCACTGAATAAAATATAAACTCTAAGTCTACATCGTTCGACGATGATTTAAAGTATTGTTGTCCTGGCTTTAAACGTCATAGCAGTCTGATACGTCTGTCTTCGGCTTTCCTTAGGAAAGTCATAAATAGTTACACTTAATATTAAAAAGGTGTTCTTTTCTCAACTGTATATATTTAAAATTGTTAAAAAGTATTTAAATATCAGATATGCAAAAATGTATGTAAAAATGTTGTAAAGAAAATTAGAAAGTAAAACAAATATCATATTAACATTTACCACATTCACACCAATAATATTCATCGGTGATGTTAGGGGCCAAGTTTATCTGAACTACTTGGCAAAGCGCATTTTATTCCAGTAGTACATGCGAAAGGTCACGGATGAAATATATCTGCTGCAAACCCGGGTTTTTTATTTTATTATTTTGGGAATGCCACATTTCAGCAGTAATCCAAATGTCACTTTCAGGGTTATGCCAACGTTGTTTTTTAGCAAAATATCATCTCATGTATTTAAAATTCTTCCTATGTAGCAGGGCAATGTTGTCATGATCTACTACTAAATTTCTTTACTTTCCCCATTTAAACACTTCAGACAATTTCCCTGTGACCTTTTTAAATGGCTCTCGTTAACCCTTTGTACACTGTATCCGATAATGTGATCGGTGCCAATCGACCGTGACCAGGTTATGTCCCTTCAAAAAGCCGGCACTTTAAAGCACGTGAAATACAATCAGATCCTATAATATAAATGGAACAGTCATTTAAATGTAATTTCACACAAAGAACATCGAGCATAAGATGAGCTTACATATATAGCTACTTTTCTAGGCTAGACTTAACCCTTTGATATTTCTGATAATAACGTCATTTCTAGACATCGGTCAGGTTAATAGAGTATGTAATGTCTCCTCATTGGCGAGGTTGTAGTTCAAAGCAGCTTAAAGATAAAATAGTAACAGAGCAGTTTACATTGGATCAGGTAAACAAAATATATCTTAAAGCAACAAATCCATCGCAAAAAAAACAATCTGATTTATTCAAATATAGATTTTCATACTAATATGTCTAGAAAAAGAATTCATTTGGAACTGGAGACATTTGTTGCGAATTTAAAACCTGTATGAGTAGAAGGCTATCGTATAACCCATGTTCGGTAGGGATCTCAATGAATCCAAAGTTCTTTGCTTACGTAATAATTGTTGACGCCTTCAGAGATAACCTTTGGTCGGTGACATGACATTTTGTTACAATATACCAGCATATGATCTTTTGGAGATCAGGAGGCCGCTCTACTACTATCACGGAAGACAAGATTGGCATAGAATCGTGTCCAGTCAAGGAAAGCACTCTCCTTACTTCCATAAAATTGATATATAAGTATGACATAACCACAATTCATGTAATATGTGTGAGTCATAATGCTTGTTTAATTTCCTATTCGGGACTATTTAACTATGACTTGTGATAAGTTCAATAGTTATCTGAACTACATAGATGTATTTGATTAAATGCAACACAACCATTTTTATGATGGATGAATCATTGCTTTTTTTTTGGTTGTATATTGACACAGATATTGCGATGATTCCACGAGTACTGTACGGTATAAAGTATACAAACAAGCCATTCGGATTTATATTTCTCTTACCCTGGACAGGGATATCCACCATTTTACCGGTGTGAGATTTTCTTATCTCACCCTAGGGTTGAGACAAGCTACACGTGTTCTTTGCACGTTCTCAACAATTGTATCACGTCATAACAACAATAACATGACGTCACGTCGACAATTCAGCCGTATCACATCAACATTGTCTTGCATTGATGTAACGTCTATATAAAATACATAAGAGGGTAAACAGGGTAAGACAAAAATAATCATTCACCCCCTTAGGCGTGAGACAGGGTGATCTCAACCCTCGAGGTAAGATTCTTAGACTGTCAAACACTCGGCAAGCCTCGTGTTTGACAACTTAAGAATCTTACCCTTCGGGTTGAGATTAACCTGTCTCTTCCCGAAGGGGGTGAAAGATTCTATTATTTTCACCTGTGCCCCGCTTTGACCATCAATTTCAATTTCAAAATATTGTATTAACAATACATACATATTACATACAAATATTTATGCGTGCAATACAGCATTGTTAAAAGAATCAGACAACAGGCTAAGCCTATATCAGTTTTCTACATATATTTTCGGTTAGGCCTGACAAAAAGATGTTATGTTTCCCCTTTCAGTCCTGAAAAGGGTAGTAATTTATTTATTTATTATAAATCATTTCTTTACCAAGAAATATATAAAAAAAAAAAAATATTGTTCAATTTTGATTTAAGAATAATTAAATAAAAAAAAGATAAAAAAAAAATAAAAAAACAAAGGCACAATAAAATAGAGGGGAAAATTTAATTAAATTTTAGACAAATTTCTAGTGCGGTTAGTCGACGGTAAAGCGGAAACACAACATTTTTTGTCAGGCCTTATGAATGAATAATTTTAGGTAAATAACTAGTATAGTACTCACTCACACTTTTACACACACATTCATACCAGCTTGAATGTTGTAATGTATATTATATAAGGATAAGAACTTGCTAGAAATAGTAATACATATATTTACTGCAAATTAGTAGCTACCTTTGGTAGTTATCATGTATATGTATAGAATCGCTTTGATGATTTTACATATAAGTCAATATGATTAAGAATGGTATTATTTAAATGATCGGACCATATAGTAAGCAGTGACAATGTATATACCCTAACAAGTTATAAATAGAGGTAATATGATATCTAGAATTAGAATATAGGGGACATTGAAAGTAAAAAAAGCACTGTATCCTCCCTTGGTGCACCACATGCACAGGAATCATCATCAATCACAGTAATCACAGTAATCTTCCATCATTGGAAATCTCGATAGAGATTGTTGCGATGCCTCATCTTTTTGCTTTATTCGCGTTAACTTTAAATCAACCAGATGATCTTGTTATTTATCATAGTTAAGATCACTTTTAAAATTTCTGATTTGACATTGTTGGGTGAAATTATGTCGACCGGTATGCAGTCACGTCGATAAAATCTAGTTTGGAGATTATATTAATTCTCAAGACTCTGCAAGTGTCTTCAGGAGGAGCATGTATTCGTGTTGTATGTATATAATGTATCAAGCGAAATCAATCA